TTTGATTTGGCTCAATAGCTTTCTTTCTTAAAGCCCTTGTTCCAACATGTAAAATTTAGGGCAAATCTCACCTCTTCCTCCTACTTTTTGTTCAACCATACTTTTGTTTAAAAAACCAAAACTTAATATTGTGGACAACTTCTGACTCTTCATTTTCTCTCCTCACTGACATTTATTATTTTAGCCTCACTTTTGCTCTCTCTTCTCTCTGTTTATAGAAGGTGAACAGACATCACTCACCCTTGCTGTTAAGTCACATAATGGAATTGTTAGGTATGCATGCATTCAAAGTCTATAAAACTGTTATTCCACTGGCTATCTTCCCATGTTAGGGCACTGATATGTTAAGTCCAGTCAGGTAAAATCAAGTGTTAAGTGAATTTAGACTGTGTAGTCAGTTACTCTGTTTAGTTAAGGGTTTAAGAATAAATAGGGGGTTGCCTGGGTGGCTCAGTTGGTTAAGTGTCCAACTCTTGATTTTGGCTCAGGTCATGATCTCAGGGTTGTGAAATCAAACCCCATGTGGGGCTCTATGCTCAGCATGGAGTCTACTTGAGATTCTCTCTCTCCCTCTCCCTCTGCCCCTCCCCCTGCTCATGCTCTCTCTCTAAAAAGAAATAAATAAAAATCTTTAAAAGAATAAATAGGAATTGGGACTTTCAAAATGGCATACAAAGGCAATTTTTTTTCTAATAACAAATTATGTGATATGTAGAATCCATTACCCTCATTCTTCCCTTTGCTTTGAATTCAGAGTCTCTGCCCAAGGGAAAAGTCAGAGCCTGTGGGCCAGATCTGGTGGAAATAGGAATCATTTGGTAGGTAAGAACTATTGATGCAAATTTTTCTCTCCTCTGCTTTTATAATTTTAAGTGTAATTCAAATAATTCTTTGAAAGTGTGATCTAAAAACCAGGCTGGAAAATTAGTACTCAGTCCTTATCAGAAGTCATGACCAATCAATGATCTCCATAGTCTAATTTTCAGTTTTAACTAGGCCAACATGACATTGGGCAAAGTGCTTTCATATCTATTATTTCACTTTCACATTTATATTACTTACATTAATGTTGTTGATGTGGTCAACAAATATTTATTGAGCCACTACTACATGCCAGGTAGCATTCAGGGTGCTTGAAATATAGCATTAAAAAGAGTAAACACTAATTTTTGGCTTCTCTAAGCTTATTACCTAATCAGCATAATTATTATTTTTTTTTAAGTATGCTCCATGCCTATCATGGAGCCCAACATGAGGCTTGAACTCACAACCCCAAGTACAAGACCTGAGCTGAGATCAAGAGTCAGACACTTAACTGACTGAACTACCCAGATGCTCCAGGATAATTAATTTTTAAGTTTAAATACAAGACTTCGGACACATTTGACTTTATCTCATATGATTATTAGTAGCAGTATTGGCAATATGTTCATTTTTATAGAAAAACTAAGCAATGAGATAATCACATTTATTTTTTTAATTTAATTTAATTTTATTATGTTAGTTACCATACAATACATCAGTAGTTTTTGATGTAGTGATCCACGATTCATTGTTTTCGTATAACACCAAGTGCTCCATGCAGTATGTGCCCTCCTTAATACCCATCACCAGGCTAACCCATCCCCCACCCCCCTCCCCTCTAAAACCCTCAGTTTGTTTCTTGGAGTCCATAGTCTCCCATGGTTCATCTCCCCCTCTGATTTCCCCCCCTTCCTTTTTCCCTTTCTTCTCCTAATGTCCTCTATGCTATTCCTTATGTTCCACAATTAAGTGAAACCATATGATAATTGACTTTCTCTGCTTGACTTATTTCACTTAACATAATCTCCTCCAGTCCCATCCATGCTGATGTATTCATGTTGAGTATTCATCCTTTCTGATGGCTGAGTAATATTCCATTGTATATATGGACTAATCACACTTAAAAACATAGTAGAGGTGCCTCTTAGCAGAAAAATCTGAGAAGATAATTTAATGTGCTAACCTCTCCTACCTGACAGAACACTTGAAAATTTACATCCTGTGTATATATTAATATATTTTATTTCAATCATTTTGACCTCTTAACCACTTCAGGAACATTTTTGGAACTTTAAGTGTGATCTCTCATTCTTAAATTGATATTATGATACAATACAAGAACATGGATTTATTTTTTTAAGTTTTTATTTAAATTCTAGTTAGTTGAGGCACCTGGGTGGCTCAGTCTGTTAAGCATCTGCCTTTGGCTTGGGTCATGATCCCACGGTACTGGGTCAAACCCGACATCAGGCTCCCTGCTCAGTGGGGAGTCTACTTCTCCCTCTACCCACTCTTTGTGCTCTCTCTTGCTATCTCTCTCTCTCAAATAAATAAATGAAATCTTAAAAAATAAATTCCATTTAGTTAACATACAAAGCAATATTTTCAGGCATACAGTATAGTGATTCAACACTTCTGTACAACACCCAGTGCTGATCACAACAAGAGCATTCCTTAGTCCCCATCATCTATTTAACCCATCCCCCCATCCACCTCTCCTCTGGTAACCACCAGTTTATTCTCTATAGTTAAGGATCTGTTTCTTGGTTTGCCTCTCTATCTCTTTTCCCCATATGCTCATTTGTTTTGTTTCTTAGATTCCACATGTGAGTGAAATCATATCACATTTCTCTTCCTCTGACTGACTTATTTCACTTAGCATAATATTCTCTACCTCTATCCATGTTGTTGCAAACGGCAAGATTTCATTCCTTTTTTGGCTGAGGAATATTCCAGTGTGTGTGTGTGTGTGTGTACCACATCTTTGTCAATTAGAATAACATGGATTTAGAATTATGCAATTTGAGCCTGAGTTATTGTTCTTTAAAACTTACTGTATTGACATCAGCAAATCTCTTGTTTTCAGTTTTCATATTTTCAAAACAGGGGTTTCTTAATGGAGTCACTATTGATAGGCTTTTGGGGGCAGAATAATTCTTTATTATTTGACATCCCTGATCCCTACCCACTAAATACCAGTAGTTAAGTGCCAGTTATTGTGACAACCAAAAATTGCCCCCTCCCCATAGTTTCAAAACAGTTGAAAACTACCTTATCATCTCAGATTCCATTCAGTCCTAAAATTTCTATAATTTCATAAAAGGGACCAAAGAGCAACTTGGCTTATAGTAGCCATCCATTGGAGCTCCTTCAACTTCCCAACATAACTCTATCTGCTCCCATCCTTTCTTGTTCTTACAACAGAACTAGGATCTCCTATCTCAAGCTATGCTCTGTAATTTATTCCTTTCTTGTTTGGCATTATCAAACATTGATTTTTTCTTTCATGTATATTCACACTCTTCTTTTCAACTAGATCCTTCCCATCAGCTATAAACATGCTCAAGTTACTCCTATTTAAAACACAACTAAACTAAACTGAAGTATACTCTCTCATGACTTGATAGCCTTTGCTTCTCCCACCTATTTTTATTAAAGTTACAAATTGATATTTTCCATCTTCATTTTTTTCAAGTTTTTATTTAAATTCCAATTAGTTAACATAAAGTGTAATATTAGTTCCAGGTGTAGAATTTAGTGATTCAACACTTCCATACAACACTTGGTGATCATCACAACAAATGTCCTCCTACTTCATTTTCCTTGATTTGTCAGCACAATTCCACATAGGTCAAATTCCCACCTTTTTGAAATATTTCTTTTGTGTTTTATGACAACTCACTTTCTGATTTTTTTCTTCTTTCTCTGGTTCCTCTTTATCTCTTTTGCAGGTTTATTCCCATTGTTACATCACTAAATGTCAGAGTTCTTCAAGGATTCCTCTAGACCCTTTTCTCTTTTCACTCTTTACTCTGTCCTTGATGATCTCATCCATACCCATATATGGCTTTATTTGCTAATCATATGCATATGAATTACAAATTAATATCTCCAACCAAAATGGTCTCCTAAACATTTTCATTCCATAATGGCTCATTTTCAACACTTATTTTCACACTGCAGCTGAAGTGATATTTTTCAAGTATAAATCTGGTCTTTTTTTTTTTTTTTTTGTCAATTCATCCAGGCTGAGAAACTTTGCATTGTCTAACCCCAGCCTATCTCTCCAGTCTCAACAATAATATGATTTTCATTGCACTCTACAACACAGCCCCACAGGGTTTTCAGTTTCTCTAATATACCATGCCTTCTCCTTACTAATGCTACTATTTTCTCTTCATGTAGTTAATGTATTTTCACCCTTCAGGTCTTAGCTTAGGTGTCACTTCCTTAGAAAACAATTCCCTTACCTCTCAATTTAAAATGTGTCTTTTTATCATAAAGCCAGCTTCATTTCCTTCAGAACATTTATCTCAAGTTGTAATTTTTCATTCATTCATTAATGCAATCATTTGATTAATGACTCTCTTCCTGAGATATTACACTACAGTGTGAGCTCCATAAGGATATGTGCCCTTTCAACTTTGTCTTCTCATTGTAACTCCAAAGCCTAATACAGATTCTGGCACATAATATGTGCACAAAAGATATTGGGACACAACTCAATGAAAGGTTGTTATATAGAATTTTGCTTCTTTTAGTATACCCCTTAAGAAAAATTTAAAATAACATGCCAAGAGGACTGTAATTTAATTTCTAGTGGATGATGAATAAAAAGGACAAAATGATGTGTCTGAGGTAATTGGAAGATACTGAAATGAAAATCTCTTGTAACACCTTGGCTCTGTGATTTGACTACTTCCATTTTTGAAATATACTAGATTTTTTTAGGTTTTATTAGATGGCCCAGATTTTTGTATAAAATATATATTTCCCTTTGATCTTTGTGAGAGAAAATCACAGCTCTTCTCTCTGGTGTTATCTCATGATCCCTCTGAATTTTCTGAACATGGCCAAATGAAGACACACATGTGTGTATATGCACACACAGACATACACACACATAAACGCCAGGGACATATAAAAACAATAATTACCTATGAAAGAAATTTGGCTTTTCATTCTTCATCTTGTAGGGGATGACCATCCGTCCTCTTGTTGACTTATTAAATATGACAAGAAGAGAGACCTCTCCAACTGTGAGTGAACAAATTCTCATTTGGGTAAGATATTTAGCTATTATCTAGATGATCTTGTTGACTGGAACTAATCTTCATGAATTGGTCCCTACCTGTTAGGTCTTTTTATAATTGGATTTTTCTCCTAATAAAGGAGACATGATTTTCTAACTTTTAAAAGGGTATTTATTATTTTGCACTGATCTGTAATTTGAAAAGAAAAAAAATCAGTTCTAATGGTAAGGAATAAGAAAAATGAAAATCTGGATTCTAGCTTTTGCTCTGTTATTTCCCAGAATCCCACATTATCTTAAAAAAATCTTTTAACCTCTTTATGGTCTTGGTATATTAATCAGTAAATAAAAATGGCTGTTTATGTGATCTCTGAGGACATATCCAGGTTGATTAATGTACAATTATGAATGCTTTTATTTCAAATTATGATTTTAGTGTTTTTACTTACTTTGTCCTACTGATTCTTTTTTTAAATTTTATTTAAATTCAATTAGCCAACATATAGTACATCATTAGTTTCAGATGCAGGGTTCAATAATTCATCAGTTGTATATAACACACAGTGCTCATCACATCACATGCCCTCCTTAATGCCCATCACCCAATTACCCCATCTTCCCACACACCTCCCCTCCAGCAACCCTCAGTTTGTTTCCTATGGTTAACAGTCTGTCATGGTTTTCCTCCTTCCCTGATAACTTTCCATTCTGTTTTCCCTCTCTTCCCTTTTGATCCCCTGCACTATTTCTTATATTCCACATTTGAGTGAAACCATATGATGATTGTCTTTCTCTGCTTGCCTTGTTTCACTTAGCATAATACCCTTCAGTTCCATCCATGTTGATGTAAATGGTAGATATTCATCCTTTCTGATGGCTGAGTAATATTCCATTGTATATATGAACCACATCTTCTTTATCCATTCATCCATTGAAGGACATCTTGGCTCCTTCCACAGTTTGGCTATTGTGGACATAGCTGCTATGAATATTGTGGTGCATGTGCCCCTTTCAAACACTGCATTTGTACCTTTGGGGTAAATACCTAGTAGTGCAATTGCTGGGTATAAGGGTAGATCTATTTTTAACATCTTGAGGAACCTCCATACAGTTTTCCAGAGTTTCTGTACCACCTTGCATTCCCTCCAACAGTGTAAGAGGGTTACTCTTTCTCCACATCCTCGCCAACATTTGTTGTTTCCTGTCTTGTTAATTTTACCCATTCTGACTGGTGTCAGGTGGTATCTCAGTGTGGTTTTATATTTCCCTGATGCCAAGTGATGTGGAGCATTTTCCATGTGTCTGTTGTCCATTGGTATGTCTTCTTTGGAGAAATCCCTATTCATGTCTTCTGCTCATTTCATTTTTTTCTTTCAGATTTTATTTATTTATTTGACAAAGAAAGAGAGAGCACAAGCAGAGGGAGAAACAGGCAGAGGGAGAAAGAGAAGCAGGGTCCCCGTGGAGCAGCGAGCGTGATGTGGGGCTTGATTCCAGGACCCTGGGATCACGACCTGAGCCAAAGGCAGATGCTTAAATGACTGAGCCACCCAGGTGCCCCTTCTGCCCATTTCTTGACTGGATTATTTGTTTTATGGGTGTTGAGTTTGATACGTTTTTTTTTAATCTTTTTTTTTTTAAGATTTTATTTATTTATATGACAGAGAGAGACAGTGAGAACAGGAACACAAGCAGGGGGAGTGGGAGAGGGAGAAGCAGGCTTCCCGCTGAGCAGGGAGCCCGATGCGGGACTCGATCCCAGGACCCTGGGATCATGACCTGAGCCGAAGGCAGATGCCCAACGACTGAGCCACCCAGGCGCCCAAGTTTGATAAGTTTTTATAGATCATGGAAACTAGCTTATTATCTGATATGTCATTTGCAAATATCTTCTGCCATTCCATGGGTTGTCTTTTCATTTTGTTGACTGTTTCCTTTCTCTGTGCAAAAGCTTTTTATCTTGATGAAGTCTCAATTGTTCATTTTTGCTTTTGTTTCCCTTGACTTTGGAGACGTGTCTAGGAAGAAGTTGCTGCAGCTGAGGTTGAAGGGGCTATTGCCTGTATTCTCCTCTCAGATTTTGATGCATTCCTTTTACACATTTAGGTCTTTCATCCATTTTGAGTTTATTTTTGTGTATGGTGTAAGAAAATGGTCCAGGTTCATTCTTCTGCATGTGGCTGTCCAATTTTACCAGCACCATTTTTTGAAGAGATTATCTTTTTCCATTGGATATTCTTTCCTGCTTTGTCGAAAATTAGTTGACCATAGAGTTCAGGGTCAATTTCATAGTTCGTTATTCTGTTCCATTGATCTATGTGTCTGTTTTTATGCCAGTACCATACTTTCTTGATGATTATAGCATTGTAATAGAGCTTGAAGTCTGGCAATGTAATGTCACCAGCTTTCATTTTCTTTTTCAACGTTCTCCTGGCATTTCGGGATCTTTTCTGGTTCCATACCAATTTTAGGATTGTTTGTTCCAGTTCTGTGAAAAATATCAATGTTATTTTGATAGGGGTTGCACTGAATGTGTAAATTACTCTGGGCAGCATAGACATTTTCACAATATTTATTCTTTTAATTCATGAGCATGGAACTTGTGTGTGTGTGTGTGTGTGTGTGTGTGTGTGTGTGTGTGTGTGTCTTCCTCAATTTCTTTCTTCAGTGTTCTGTAGGTTTTAGAGTACAGATCCTTTACCTCTTTGGTTAGGTTTATTCCTAGGTATCTTATGGCTCTTGGTGCAATTGTAAATGGGATCAATTCCTTAATTTCTCTTTTTCTGTCTCATTGTTAGTGTTTAGAAATGCAACTGATTTTTGTGCATTGATTTTACATCCTGCCTGTTTCTGAATTCCTTCATGAGTTCTAGCAATTTGGGGGTAGTGTCTTTTGCATTATCCCCATGGAGTATCATGTCATCTGTGAAGAGTGAGAGTTTGTCTTCTTCTTTGCCAATTTGAATGCCTTTTATTTCTTTTTGTTGTCTGATTGCTGAAGTTAGGACTTCTAATACTATGTTGAACAACAGTGGTAAAAGTGGGCATCCGTGTCATACACCTGACTGTAGTGGAAAAGCCCTCAGCTTTTCCCCATTGAGAAAGATATTTGCTGTGGGCTTTTCATAGATAGCTTTTATGATATTGAGGTATGTTCCCTTTATCCCTACACCATGGAGAGTTTCAATCGAGAAAGGATGCTGTATTTTTTCAAGTGCTTTTTTTTTTCTGCATCAATTGAGAGCATCATATTGTTCTTGTCCTTTCTTTTATGAATGTGATGTATCACATTGATTGATTTGTGGCTATTGATCCACCTTGCAGCCCAGGAATAAATCTCACTTGGTTGTGGTGAATAATCCTTTTAATGTAATGTTGGATCCTATTGGCTAGGATCTTGGTGAGAATTTTGGCATCCATCATCAAGGACAGAGGTCTGTAATTCTCCTTTTTGGTAGGGTCTTTGTCTGGTTTTGGGAACAAGGTAAAGCTGCCCTCATAGAAAGAGTTTGAAAGTTTGAAAGATTTCCTTCTATTTTGATTTTTTGAAACAGCTTCAGAAGAATAAGTATTAGTTCTTCTTTAAATGTTTGGTTGAATTCCCCTGTGAAGCCATCTGGCCCTGGACTCTTGCTTATTTGATGATTTTTGATTACAGCTTCAATTTCCTTGCTGGTTATGGGTCTGTTCCACTTTTCTATTTCTTCCTGTTTTAGTTTTGGTAGTTTATATGTTTCCAGGAATGCATCCATTTCTTCCAGATTGCCTAATTTGTTGGCATATATTTGCTCATAACATGTTCTTAAAATTGTTTGTATTTCTTTGGTGTTGGTCGTGATCTCTCCTCTTTCAGTCATGATTTTATTAATTTGGGTCCTTTCTCTTTTCTTTTTGATAAATGTGGCTAGGGGTTTATCAATCTCATTAATTCTTTCAAAGAACAACATTTTAGTTTCATTGATCTATTCTACTATTCTTCTGGGCTATTTCATTGATTTCTGCTCCAGTATGTATGTATGTATGTATGTATGTATGTATGTATGTATAGATTTGATGTATTTATTTGTCAGAGAGAGAGAGTGCAAACAAGCAGAGGGGGCAGCAGGCAGAGGAAGAAGCAGGCTCCCTGCTGATCTGGAAGCCCAATGTGGGACTCGATCCTAGGACCCTGGGATTATGACCTGAGCTGAAGGCAGATGCTTAACTGACTGAGCCACTCAGGCGTCCCTGCTCTAGTCCTTATAATTTCTCCTCTCCTGTTTGCTTTAGGCTTTATTTGCATTTCTTTCTCCAGCTCCTTTCACTCTAAGTTTAGCTTGTGTATTTGAGCCTTTTCTAATTTTTTGAGAAAGGATTGTATTGCTATGTACTTCTTTCTTAGGACCACCTTTGTTGTATCCCAAGGGTTTTGAATAGCTGTGTTTTCATTTTCATTTGTTCCATTAATTTTTAAAATTAATCTTTGATTTTCTGGTTGACCCATTCATTCATTAGTAGGATGCTCTTGAGCTTCCAAGTGTTTGAGTTCCTTCCAAACTTCCTCTTGTAATTGACTTCAAGTTTCAAAGCATTGTGGTCTGAAGATATACAGGGAATAATCCCAGTCTTTTGGTATCAGTTGAGATCTGATTTGTGACCCAGTATGTGATCTATTTTGGAGAAGTTCCATATGCACTTGAGAAGAATGTGTATTCTTTTGCTTTAAGATGGAATACTCTGAATATATATGTGCAGTTAATCTGGTCCAGTGTGTCATTCAAAGCCCTTGTTTCCTTGTTGATCTTCTGCTTAGATGATCTGTCCATTGCTCTGAGTGGGGTGTTGAAGTCTTCTACTATTATTATATTATTATTAGTGTGTTTCTTTAATTTGGTTATTAATTGTTTTATATAATTGGCTCCTCCTGAGTTAGGAGGATAAATATTAATAATCATTAGATCTTGTTGGATAGACGCTTTATGTATGATATAGTGTCCCTCTTCATCCCTTACTACAGCCTTTGGTTTTAGATCTAATTCGTCTGAGATGATG